TGAAAACACTTCAGTAATTTCCCGCTGCTCTTGGGCTAATGAAGGCCTACAAAACTCCATGCAGCCTTAACTCTGCAGCTGCATCTCCTAAGCTTCCTCGCTCCCTTGCCCCTGAGAGCCATGCTCCCCCTCTGAACTCAGCACGCGTCGTCCCTTCAACCCCAAATTATTTTTTACTTATATTGCCCCGTTTAATTCTTAGTATAAACCTAAGAGGTAAGTATTGTTGTAATCCCTGTTACCTTCCTAAATAGAAAGAGTGCTTGGAAAATGGGAAAGTTAGGTACTCAAAACACAGGCAGAGGGAGGCAGGGTTTCTCCCCAAAAGATAGTCCAGGGAAAGCCTGTGTGATGTTGGAAAATGTGGTCCCTGGGGCATTGTGGGGAAGTGAATTTTGGATGGGAGTCCAGGCCAACCTCTTCCTTTATATGAATGACAACTAACAATGCCTGCAATCCCTGTAATCCAGGTAGAAGAATGCAAGATAAGTTTATATGTTGACCCATATAATTAATCGACAAGAGCAAAAGAGGGGCTCATAAATTAAGTGGAAAATTAATTTGTTTCTTCTTTGTCAGTCAAGTTTAGCCTCATGGAAGGCAGAGACCAATTGCGGCCGCCTGAAAAACTGAGAGCTGATGCCAGTTTGATTTAGCTCAGGAGGCTGAAATTTTATGCCCTGAAGGCTGGTGTGATGGAATAGACCTTCTCATTGCTCACAATATTATGAAAAAAACATTAAAGCAACAATTTTTATTACTTGCCCTGGAGCCAGAGCTTTAAAATGTACTTTCTTCTCCCCCTACCCTCCCTAACCCACTTAGCTTTTAAAAATAAACAACCCATTCATGTGCTGGCTATCGCCAGATTATTAGTCCTTTCTCCTTATTCCTGAGCCCTGTTTTGTTAATGCAGCAAAGAAGTTGGGCTGGTGTGCGTCCAGATCTCTGGAATTTTTCTTTAGTTATTTTGTTAAGCACATATTAACTGTTGGTAACCGTTTCTTGAGTGTGTGCTATGTGCCAGGGAAGGTGAATGAGATGCTGAATTTAACTAGGAAAGGAAAGTGACCCATCCACACATAATTGCACCACGGGTGACGTAGAAGCAGTTGCCACTCGTTCTCCTAGGAAAGAGGTCAGGGTAGAACCGAGGAAGACTTCTCTGAGTGGATGGATTTTGAAGCCTAAAAACGAAGGGAAGGGAGAGGGGTGTTCCAAGCAGAGAGAGATTCCTGGGCGAGGAAAAGGAGGCGCGTGTGAGCATGGCACGCCCAGGATGAGGCGACCTCAGGAGAGGTCTTGTGAGGTTGGGGCCAGAGAACGAAGGCCCTTGAATGCTACACTATTTAGATTTTATGACAGCCTCTATCATAATTTTTTTATGAGTTTCTTTAAGCTGAATTTTTAAGCAGATGATGCTACATGAATTTTCTTTAGGAAATAGCTCCATGAATGATGTTTCAGAGGGAAAGGCAAGGACGCCTGAAGAACATGAGAATGCTGTTGCTGTCGTCCACGTGAAATAGGGTAAAGGTCTAAACTAGCGTGGGTTTGAGAGATACTCCGAAAAGAGAGAGGGTCAGGTTTAATGACTAGCTGGATATGGGAAGTAAGGTTGACAGTAATTCCGAGATGTTGGAATTACTTGACCAGGGGAATGGAGATGCCATTGATCAGAATAATGGATATAAGATGGGGAAGAGGTCTGGGGAGAAAGACAGTGCGTAGAGGTCACTGTGGAACATTCAGGAAGATCCCCAGGATACAGCTTTGACGGTAGCTGTACTATGACATCATACAGTTGAGAACTGCCAAAGGTTATGACAGGTCCTCAGTCTAAAAAGACACATCAACTCCATAAGCCACTTAAAAAGAAGGAAAAACACACACACATCAGACTCAGCTAATGACCATGACATCATATTTAAGGTAAGTTCCTTAGAACTCTAGTTGTTATGCAAGTTCCAGTGAAGGAAAAGGGCTGGGCACTTAAAACAATGAGGCGTTAGTAAAAGCCACCAAGAGAAAGCGAAACAGAGCAACACAGGTAGGAGTAGTTGAAAGGAACAAAGAAGAGCAAATGACAGGAGCCTAGCAGAAAGGGTGGATGGGTAAGGACACAGGTAGAGGCGGCTTTGGAGTACAGAGGAGAAACTTGAGCTGGCTCTTCCAAAGAGCTGTTACTTCTTTACTGTAAAAATACCACGAGCTTTAATTTCTCATCCTATTCAACCTGTCAGGAAGAGACAGATAGGAGATTGTTCAGAGGCACTGGGCAAGGGGTTTGATGTTATTTTGCAGAGAAAGTGCCGGGAGACTTTGAACTAAGGGAAGAATAACAAAGGTAGAGTGAGATAAAATGAAAAGGAGAATGATTGGGAGGAATTTTCAGAACACTTAATGGATTCTCTGACAAATAGCTGCTAACAAAGAAGGTAGATTGATGCAGTGTTCTCGGAGTATTGTGGCGTTAGACTTGCTTGGTAAGAGAGAATTTATTAGTGGAGCACCTTATACTTTAAAATATTTTAAAAATTTGGTTGTTACATGAGCCTTCGGAAGCAGGTGCATTCAGACACTATTATCTTTCTTTCTTTCTTTCTTTTTTTTTTTTTTTGTAGAAACAAAAATCTGGGTGTTTAGGAGGCTGAGTTTGTTTCAGATGCTATGGCTGGCAAGACGTTCAACCCTCGGTTCTATTCATTGTACCAGGGCCTTTTACAGTGTGTCCCTTCCACCTCCCACCATGCCACATTATGTAAAATTAAAGCAGATGATTTGAGGACCAACAAAGCCAAGATCTGTGGTGAGGGGCGGTGATGGAAAAGATACTTAGCACTGACTGTTACATGCAGTAGGGATGGTCATGAAATGTATATCGAGAATATCTGTGGAATGACACCTTCAATATGGTAGAAATCTACAATATGAAACAGTCTTATGATTAACTCTGCTCTGAGGCAGATATCCCCTTTATAAAGTGAACTTAATCACCCATATATTGTTGGAGAAATTCAGATTTTCACATATGGGTTTTGCCTAAAGCAAAGAGATTCAGATTTTCATATATGGGTTTTGCCTAAAGCAAGATACCTCTGCAGTAAGCTATACCTATACTGATTATATTACATGTGAAGACTTTTATTTTTTATGTTCACCTGAGGATATGCTTTTAATGATTTTTGCACATTATGTAAAATTAAAGCAGATGATTTGAGGACCAACAAAGCCAAGATCTGTGGTGAGGGGCGGTGATGGAAAAGATACTTAGCACTGACTGTTACATGCAGTAGGGATGGTCATGAAATGTATATCGAGAATATCTGTGGAATGACACCTTCAATATGGTAGAAATCTACAATATGAAACAGTCTTATGATTAACTCTGCTCTGAGGCAGATATCCCCTTTATAAAGTGAACTTAATCACCCATATATTGTTGGAGAAATTCAGATTTTCACATATGGGTTTTGCCTAAAGCAAGATACCTCTGCAGTAAGCTATACCTATACTGATTATAGTGATTTTTGGAGAGTGGATGGGAGAGGGAGAGAGAGAGAGAGAGAGAGAGAGAGAGAGAGAGAGAGAATGAATTGATGTGTGAGAGAAACATCTATCCATTGCATATCAAACTGTAACCTACATATGTGCAGTATGTGCAGTGACCAGA